TCCCATTGCGCTTTCTCCTCAGCAGCTTGTCTGCGCAACTCATCTTGTTCGCGCTCGTATCTTTCTGCCTCCTCGTGCGGGTCTGGCCTGTCGGGGCTCCTGGACCTGTCACGCTCTATGAGGGGGGCATCGCCTTCGTCGGTCTGGCGGGCTGCTGACCTGGCTGACCTGGTTGATGCTGGCCTCCGAGGAGAGGAGCTGCTCTGCCTGCGGCCCCTGTTGGCTGGGCGCTCCTCGGCTGCACCAGTTTGGAGATTGGTCGCAACGGGGGGCTCCGCTGTGGCGGTCGCTGCCTCGGCTGCTCCTCTGGCTTCCTCGTACAGGTCAGCGGCCTCCTGGTAGTCGTCCATGGACTCTTGGGACGTTGGGAGGTGGCCCCCTTGGACGAGGTGATGAGCTGCCCTCTTGGTGAAGTCGTAGCCCTCCTGCCCGTATTGCCTCATCTCGGCGTACAGGTTGACCATGGCCTTGCGTTCACGTTCCCTGCTGGCTGCAATGGCTTCCAGGCTCTGCATCCTCAGCTTTAGCTCCTCTGTCTCCGACGCGCCCTGCTGCTCCTTCTTTGCGATGGCGTCTAGCTCGGTGTGCAGCGTGCTGGAGCGCTGGAGGCTTTCTTGCAGCGCGAGGTGGATGGCCTCCTCCCTGCCCGTCCTCTGCTGGCTGGCGAAGTCTTCCATGGCGGAGGCCTCCTCCATGCTGGCGATCCTGAAGGTGAGGGCCTGGGCGAGCTCCTCCTCCAGCGCCTGCTCCTGCACCTCTGCGTTGGACCTTTGCTCGCTCAGCTGCACCGCGTAGCTGCTCAGTTCCTGTCGCAGGCTCTCTGTGTGCAGCTGCAAGTCATGTGCGTTCGCCTCTTCTATCATGACTTGGCGGGTGAGACTCGACCTTATTCGCTCAGCACTGCCTTCGAGCTCTGCCCGCATTGCCTCCTTGTCCTTCAGGCTGGCCTTCGCGATCTCCTCCTCCTCTGCTCTAGTCCTTAGCAGGGCGAACTGCAATGCCTGCACCTCGTGCGGGATTTGCCGCTCCTTGTTGGCGCTTCTCAGCTCCGCTGCTTCATGGTATGCCACTTGTACTGCACGCTGCGCAGCGCCCGCCTCAAGCTTGGAGTACTGCTGGAGCTCGTGTATGCGGGCTTCAGCTGCCTCGAGCTCGCTTTTGGTCTGCTTGAGCCGCTCCTGCTGCCGTGCTGCTGTCTGGACGATCCCTTGCAGCCTGGCCGCCTCTGCCGGCGGGAGGGCCCCTTTTCCCTTGGCATTGGCAACCACTTGGGCCTGGGCGATTGCCTGGACCCTGGCTGATTCGGCGGCAGCTTCAATCTCGAGGGCGTGGTTCTTTTTGGCCTCCTGGAACTTCTCTTCCATGACCAGCTCCTGCCTGGCGAGCTGCTGCTTGAGAGTGCCCGCTGTAGCTGTCGCTTGGGCGCTCTCGTGCTGGGCCCGTCGCAGTGCCTCTTGCGCCTCGGCTCTTGCCCGCAGCAGGTCTTGGTAGACCCTGTCCTGGGGTTGCGGCTTCTCCCGGTGCTCCGCTCGAACTTGCTCAAGCTGCTCATGCAGGTGATTTGCCCGGTGGGTCGCGGCTTCGGCCTCTGCCTTGGCTTGACTGAAGGCTGTGTCATGGCTGATTATCCTGGCCTCCATCTGCGTCTCGAACTCGAGCTGCTCGGCTTGTTGCTTCTTGATTGCATGGCGGAGGGCCTTGTGTTGCTGCTGCTGCTGCTGCTGGGCTGCGCTCTCCGCTGCGGTGATGCGCTGCAGCTGCTCTGACTCCTCCTTGAGTGCCAGCCTGAGTTTCGCCTGCTCGCCGTTGTGGCGGAGTGCTTGTTCTCGGGCGACCCTCCTGACTTCCGCCAGCTCGGCAGCAAACTCTTGCTCGGCTTCGGCATGGCGCTGCTGCTGGTGGGCCCGCTCCGCATTCGCCTTGGCCACCTGATCTGCGAAGCCTCTGGTTGCGCTGCCTGCCGAGCTGGCTCTTGAGCGTGGCGATCGCCCCACCACTCCCGCTGGCCAAGCTGGGAATCCGTCACCAGGTGCTTCGCTGTTCAGGCGCCTGTCGATCACGGCCATGTGGAAGGCATCCCAGCTCGGTGCCAAGCCGAACCCGTCCGTGCCCCAGTCGCCCTCGTCGTCCGCCGCGCCGCCGTCGGCGAGCACGGCCCGCACGTCGGCGATGTTGGACTCGAGCTGCCTCAACTCCTGCTGCTTGGCCTTGAGGTCGCCCCGCAGCTCGTTCGTCTTGGCCTCGAGGGCGATGACTTCGAGTTTGACGGCCTTGCGCCTCTTGCTGAGCACCTGCAGCTGGTCATTCGGCCTCCTCGTGACCAGCTTCTGATACTTGATGACCGCGATCTCCATCAACTGCTCCTTCGTGCTGTCCCCCGCGGCCTGCTTGGCAATGACCAGGTCGCCAAGCTTCCTCAGCCTCTGGTCGGCGGTGCTCAGAAACTTCTGGATGCCTGCACGGTCGGCCGGGGGCGCCTGCCACTTTGGGTGGGTGGTGGCCTCGTCCAGCGTGCAGGCCGCCACTGAGTCGATGACCTTTTGAGCTCGCTGGTCCGCTTTGCTGGAGCTGGCCTGGCCACCCTTGCCCGCCCTGGGCTGCTGCTGCTGCTGCTGCCAGGGAGGCTGACTGGGCTGCTGCTGCTGCTGCTGCTGCCATTGGCGAGGGCTGGCCTGGCCAGAGCGTCGTGGCCGCGACGGCTCCCTGCGCCAGGGCGGGTCCTCACCTGCTGGCTCGGCGTGCCAGTGCTGCTCTCGCCAGCCAGCGCCATGCCACCTCTCCTGGCGCCATGGGGGCGCTGCTGGCGGTGCTGCTTCCTCCTGGGCCTGGCCCTTGCCGCTGCGGCCACCACTGCCTCTGCCCTTACCGTCACGGGCCATCGCTGGCTGGGCAGAGTGGTGGGCGGCCAGGCGCTCGGCCGCTGCCCGCAGGCGGAGCAGGAGCCTGTCCTGGGCTCTCTGCTGCCGCTCGCGGCGGTGGGCAGCGCCCTCTGGACCTCCTCCTCGGCGATGTCGCGGCGCCCCGCCGCTGGGCCGCAGCGCGGCCGCGAGCGCCGCGGCCTGCGGCAGGGGACAGGGAGGCACGGGTGGCCCCCTGCCGCAGAATATGGCGCGCGGCGCGCGTGAGCCCGGCCTCGGGGGCTGGCCGACGCGCGATGCGCCCTGCCACCGCGATCGATCGGGCGGCAGGCGCCGACCGACCCCGATGGATCGATCGGGATCGGCTGGCCCGCAAGAGGCCAAATGGCTTCCCTCCTCCTCCTCCTCCTCCTCCTCCATTTGGTTGCGAAGCTTGCGGCCAAGTTTTCTGCCCAGGTGTCGGCCTCGATGGCCAAGGCTGAGCTTCGGGACAATGTCGGGGTTGAATACCTCAAGGGAATCGACTTGGTTTTTTTTAAAAACTACCACGGTTCAGATGTCCCTGATGCTCCTGAGGCGGAGTCCAGTGATTCTGTCCTCCCTCCCGCCGAGCCTCCTGCTGGTGCTGCTGCTGGGGGTCCTCCAGGGCCCGCCTCAGGGGACCCCGAGTGGCTTAAGGACAAAGGTGTCCAGCCATGGCGGGTGAACGGCCACTGTGTGGTTCAGAGCTCGTTGCCGAGCGATTCGCCGATAATTCATTGTCCGTCTTGCTGGCAGTATGCGACCACCCCGATGCAGCGAGGTCTCACGGGGACTTGCAAGGGGCCCAAGAAGATTTCCGGGGAATCAGCGTACACTGTCAGGAAAAGGCTGAAAGAGGGCCTTCACCCCGTTTTGCACCCTCTGGTGGCGCTCGGGCCTTCGGAGGCCCCGACGGACGAGACCAGGGGCCGTTTCTCCAGGCATTTCGGTGAGGCCTTTGTCGGGGCGGCTGTGGCTCCAAGAGCGCCGAGGGTCGTCCCTTTTTCGAAGCAAGCCGTTGCTCCGCGCCTCGGCAGTGATCCCGTGCTGTTCGCTTTTGGTTTCAGCTCCAGAGTAGAAGCTGAGGAGCTTGGTCGACAGGTGCTCTCTGCCCAGGCCAGGGCGGAAAGCGCTTACGAGGGAATCTGCACCGGTTTATTCAACATTGGCATTCAAGCGTGCCGGTGCAGTCCCCTGTCGGTTCCGCTAACCCACGTGTGCTTAACCGGGTCTACTCGATTGTGTTTCGGCCGTGGAGCTGCTATCCCGCCAGGCTCCACTCGGAATGCGCTGACGTGCGCACATGGAATGCTCTGAAAAATGTCACCACAGGGCGTGTTGCTAACGGGCGTGTTTGTCAATCCTCGGTTCACGGGAAGAGCGCAGGTTGCCGTCGGCAGAGACCCGTGTCCTCCCAGGTATTTTCTGCAGTCGATCCCGATTGTACGGTACCCTTTCCAGACGCAGCTGGCATGAGGGTGAGGAACAACCCTGCTGCTTTTTGGACGTGTACCCTGGCGTTTTTCGTTTTTGGTCTCTCCGCCTTGGAATGTTTTCCGTTTCTGATATCTCCACGGGGACTTGGACTTTCCGCGAGTCGGCTCACATTATTGATAAGCGTTCTCGTGGCAAAAAAAATCGCTTGTACGTGGCTCCCCCCTGCCGTACGGCAGGTTCGTGTCGTGTCGACGCGGCGGCGACTCCAGCGTGGGCCTTCAAGGCTGAACGCCGCCAGCGGCCTGAAGCCGGCCAACGTCGAGCGACCTGCACTGGCGGGAAGCCGCGATCGCTCAAGGTTGGACCATTCGCGCGTTGCCAGAAGCCAACACGCACCCACACCCTGAGATCCGACGTGGCGAACAAGCAGCACGTTGCGACAAATCACGGCAGGAGCCCCAGACCCTGTCTTTCTCTGCGGCGTTCTTCGGGCCAGATCGCTCTGTGGTGGTCCCAGGGCCCGAGTCCGGGCGACAGAACGCCCAGCGTGCAGACTTGCCACGCCCGGATCTCAGGGGTCGTCACGACACGAGTGTGCCGCGGCGCTCGCTGCCGATGCCCCCCTTTGCCGCGGCTCTCTCTCTGCTGCCGGCTCCTCCCGGCGGCCGCCCCGCCCCCGAGCAGGTGGGAGCGCGGCGCCTGGGTGGAGTGGCTGGAGTGAGCCGAGGCCTGCAGCAGGCGCCGCTGGCGCGGACGGCCGCGTCGGCGGTGTGCACGCCTGCCAGGGCGCCGTCTCGACGAAGGTGCAGCAGGTGCAGAGAAGGTGATGGCCGGGTCGTCGGCCTCCAGGAGCACGCCGCGCGGGCGGCATGCGGCGCGATAGAGGCAAGCCTCGGGGGCCAGCGTTTGGGGAGGGACAGGCTCAGGCGCCCTTCGAAGTTGGGAGCTCGAGGACAAGGAGGAGGAGGAGGAGGAGAAGGAGGAGGACGACGACCTCGTTACGGCCATGATCGCCTCGAACGGCCGCCAGAGGCCCGAGGTACAGCCTGAAAATTGCCGGGGGCAACCTTAGTAGGAGGCCTTGCTCGGGGGGGTCCCCCGCGAACGTGCCCCTGGTTGTTTTAAGCCATAACTCGGGCCTCTGGCGGCCGTTCGGGACAATCCTGGCAGACCCGGAACGCACTAAGCGAGGCGCAGCCGCTGGAACGCATCCAGAGGCGGGAAAAGCACCGAGAATCAACGAAGACGTTCGAAAATTTTTATCTCCGAATTTCATAGGGCGCCTTCGCATATCCCCCCCACGTTGCCCCTCAGTGAGCCACTGTCATGAGCTGGCAACCAGCAGCTAGCACCCATACCTGTGCGACCCCCAGGTTTCTTAGGGCGGAATCCCAGGTGGGGTGTGTGTGCTGTCGGATGGGGGTCCCCGCTCGAACGGGAGGCCACCTCGGGGTCCGACAACTCGCACCCATACCTATATGACGCCTCCATCGTCTTGCAGAAGGAGATGTCAAATTTGGCGATGTGTGTCGGGACCTCGGGAACGCTCCTCCTCCTCCTCCTCCTCCTCCTCCTCCTCCTCCTTCTCAGTCCTTCTCAGTCCTCCTCCTCCTCCTCCTCCGCCCCCTCCCCCTCCTCCTCCTCCTCCTCCTCCTCCTCCTCCTCCTCCTCCTCCTCCTCCTCCTCCACCTCCTCCTCCTCCTCCTCCTCCTCCTCCTCCTCCTTCTCCTCTCTCCTCCTCTCTCCTCATCCGCCTCTTCCCGATCTTCGGACGATGAAGAATCTGCACGTGCGCCGATCCCAGCCGGGCCCTTCTGGGCCCAGAGCATCGGTGCATAATGCTTTCCTGGAGGGCGTGTGCACCGCTCCTGGGCGCAGGGTGGGCCTGGCCAGGATCGGCGCATTTGCAGACTTCCTCCCTATCAACGACATAAACATAAAAACTCGGAGGTCCGCGCGGATTTCTCGGATCGGCGTTGGAGCTCCTTGGCGGCACCTCTGGCGCCCCCCCTGTTGCGCTCCGCGCGACAAGGAGGAGGGTCCAACGCCGATCCCATAAATCCGCTAGGACCTCCGAGTTGTTATGTTTATGTATGTTATGTCATTGCTTGCTTCCCTTTATATATATATATATATATATATATACATATACATATATATATATATATATATATATATATATATATATATATGGCCGGGGACCCCGGAAAAAGCGCACCCCCCCCACCTAACGAATTTCGGATTCCCCGGGTTGCTTGAAGCCCCCCCCCTGGGCTGCTCGGACGCCCTTGCAAAGGGTTTCTTCGGCCTTCCGGCCTTCTCGGAAGGTCCAAAGAGGTTTCCAATATTGCCCAAGATAACTCGTCGACAGTTCCAAAGCACACCAAAACCTTCAACACGGCTTCCAAACGCCCCAAGAGACCTCCAAGAGGCTTCCCAAGAGGGCCCGAAGAGGCAAAATTCATTGATTTCAATGGTTTTTGAAGGCTTGTTCGGTTTTCGCTTTTCCGGGACAAGAACGGCCCAAGACGGACCCGAAAACTACCAAGAGAGCCCCAAGACGGCCCCAAGAGAGCATCAGGAGCACCCCAAGAGGCTCCCAAGAGGGCCCCAAGAGGCCCCCAAGACAGCCCGAAGACGGCGGAAGGCCTCCAAGACGCCCCAAGACGACCCGAAAGGGCCCCAAAACGGCCCAAGAGAGTCCCAAAACGGCCCCCAAGAAGACCCAAAGAGGCAAAATTCATCGATTTGTTGAAAAGGTTTGAAGTTTTTTCGGTTTTCGCTTTTTCGGGCCACGAACGACCCAAGACGGCCCTAGAGCGTTTTACATGGAATTTCCTTGTAAAGCAATTACTGCACGGATGTAGACATCGTTTGACAAAAAATGCCTTGTGAAACGAGCGTCAAACGCTCTTGGGACGTTCAGACGTTGGAAGGCGTTGTCGTTTGATATCCATGTGTACATACATACATACATACATACATACATACATACATACATACATACATACATACATACACATGCACATGCATACATACGCAAAATAGATTCACATGTGCACACACACACACACACACACACACACATCCCCCCCGAACGCATTTCGGACTCCCCGGGCTGCCGGGAAGCCCCTTCCCGGGCTGCTCGACTTGCTGGGAAGCTCCCCGGGGGCTGCTCGGACGCTTTTGCAAGGGGGTTCTTCGACTTTCTGGCCTGAGGTGTTCAGACCACTTTTCGCTCGAGATTCCCTCGCACAGCTGATTTCGGAAAGGCCCTGCCCCATAGTGCTCGGGCCAGTTTCGCCTGAGGCATCCTCGCAACGTCAACCTCGGATACGCCTTGCCGCGTAGCAATCAGACACGTAGCATTCCGACACGTTTACAAGGCCTCCAGATTTTTCCCAAAGGTTCTAGCGGCACCCGTCGTTGAGTCCCTCTCAGGTCCCCCTGTCTTTCAACGCTCTCGCAGGCCAGCTCCCAGCGTCTTGCATCCGCGTCAGTTCCAGCCTCCATGCCATGATTTCCGATCCTGAGCGTTCGTGCCTGCCTGTCCTCGGGTCCGCGGGACTCCTCCCATTACTCTTCCCTTCGCCTTCCTCCTTCCCACTGTCGGCTGAGACATCCTCGCAACTCTGACCCCAGAGAAGCCCTGCCCCAAGGATGTCCGGCCACTTCCGCTTGAGACTTTCTCGCAATTCTGGGTTCTGGGGTTCCCTGAATTGAGGTGTTCCGGCCATTTCCGCTAGAAACATCCTCGCAACTCTGGATTCCGAGATGCCCTGCCGCAGAGTAGTCCGCCATCTTCACCTGAGACATCTTCGCAACTTTGGATTCAGGGATGCCCTGAGCTGAGGTGTTCAGGCCGTTTTCGTTTGAGACATCCTCGCACATGCGGGTTCGGGTATGTCCGCAGCTGAGGTGGTCAGTTCACTTTCGCTTGAAACACCCTCGCAACGCTGACATCGGAGACGCACTGCCCCGTAGTAGTCTGGCTACTTTCGCCTGAGACCCTCGCACCTCTGAGTTGCGAGATGCCCTGAGCAGGCGGTCAGGCCATTACCGCCTGAGATACGCATGTGTATGCGCACCCATAATTACACATAGGTGTGTGCACCAACAAACACCTGCGATTGACATATAAGTATACATACACTTGTTTACATGTAGTATGTATACACATATAATACAGTATACATGTGTGGTATACATATGTACACATGTGCAGAACGTGCATGCGCGCGCGGGTATACATGCATGCGCGCATGTACGCACGCACGCACCCCGCTTGCGTGCGAAACTCGGAGGACCAAGGTACATGGCGCGCAGCGCCAATGCAGCCTTGTATATATATATATATATATATATATATATATATACATATATATATATAAATATATATACGTATAGGTCCGAGTGCGCGTTGCCCACCACCCACCCAACCACCCCAACGCAACGCGAAAGCCCAATGTCATCGTCCGTTTCCAGTGGGGGGGGGGCGTCGCATGTGGAACCCATACTCCCCCCCCCCAACCTTCGGCGATGACCCCCCAGGAGCCTTCTGGGCCACATTGCGAGTACACTGCCACGCACGAGGCCGAACAACTGCACGGGGAATGGACTTCCGACCGATGGCGAGACCCCCACATTCGATGTTGCCAGACAGTCGCAACAAAAATTGTTGACGTTTCACGTATCCCCATCAGCCCCGTAGCGCTTCTGACTCCGCTAGCGCCTTCGCTGGTGGACGCGACCGAGAAAAAAGTATCCCCATCAGCCGAGACCAGAGAGCTCTTGGTGCAGAACCGCCCACACGCGCACTTTCCCGGTCAGAACTGCAAGTGGATCTGCGAGAGCTGCTGGGTCGCCAGCGTGGAGAGACGAGGGAACCACAACCCACTGGGTGCCGACGTGGCGAAGCGTGTCCAAGACTACAACACAGGCCTGGCGGACGGCAAGGAGCAGAGGAAGGCGGTAGCCTTCCCCTCCCTTGCGCACCTCCCACTCGGGTATGGAGGAAGCCCGTGCGCCGGTGGTCCGGGCCCCCATACAGGACCTCTTCATGGTCGCAACGAACCAGCACTGCCCCACCCTGGCCAACTCGACCTTACCTGCCCGGAGGATCAATGACGGGAGGTTCGACGGCGATGCTCACAGGACCCGCATCTACTCAGCGAAGTGTGACACATGCCCACCAGGTGCCTCGCGTGGAAAGTCTCGCGCCCCGCCCTAGGCTGCTTCCTGTGGAAACCCGTGCCCGGCACCGACATCAACGACCGCTCAGCACTCCCCCCATGGGACCAGTGGCTGTCCGCCTGGCCAAAGCGGAAATGGAGGTGCTTCGTTTATATATGGGACGTCGCGCCGGGCACCCTGGACCACATCCTGGACCGCGACTCCAATAAGGTCTACCCAGTGGACCCACCCAAAAGGCCACATCAGGGCACGATGGACTACGGCGCCCCAAACGCAGCTGAACAGCGGCCCCCAGGGCTCGCCAACGCCACCGTCGAGGACGAATACTCCACGAAGCCAGCTGCGCGGAGCTCACGGGACGGCACCAGCGTTCCCGCGGGCGGTAGCGACGGGAGTACACCCATCAGGACAGCGTCGGACCTACTCGCTCTCCTACCAGAGCTCCCCCCGCAAAGGCGCCCCCAGCTCAGCTCGCGATCGGTCGCGGACCTACGCATGGCGACGTGCAACACCTCCCCCTCGCCTCCCCCCGCGACTTTCACGCAGGCGTCGACCCGATCTGGCAGGAGTACGCGGCAATTGTGGGCGCAGCCATCCCCGAGCCAGAGGATCAGGAAACCTCCTGGCTGGCAAGCTGCTCGGCCCTTTCCTGGCCAGGACGCACGGCCCCGAGGTTCCAGCTGACGGCTCGCCGCCACACGTCAACTGGGATGGCAAGCGCTGGCCGGCCGCCAGAGTGGCAAAGCATTTCACCAACAGCCCGCGTCACAGCGAAGCCTCGCAGAAGCACTTCACTTCCGTGGCGCGAACCAGGGGACCCAGCCCATTTCGACACGAGCTCCCAGTACTCGCCAATTTCGTGGTGGGCCTTGACGCGAGCGCCTTCGCGACAGCCACCATCACTAACCTGGTGCGCCAGGACCCAGTTACTAGCTCGGGCACCGAGGTGGCTCGGCATATTGCAGCAGGCGCAGGGGCAGGGACATGGCTTGCCCCCAAGCAAAAGGTCAGCGAGTCACCCCGGGGCCGGCGCGTGGGCCATTACCCTGGCAGGGACGACCCAGCGGGGCTTCCTGGTCGAGTTGGCCTGACCCCAGGGGGCTCAGGGATGGGACCGCCGCCCCCCCACGGCAAGCAGGAGGACCACGAGGCCGGCGACGCACCCGCAGGCTCGGTCGAGGGCGAAGAAGAGGAGCTCGACGCACCAGGTGCCGCGAACGACGCCGAGGTACACGACGGCGCCAGCGGCGCTACCACAGAAAGGGACCACTCTGTGGATTTCGGCGGCCCGCGACCAGCACCCCCAGCAGAGTCGCCGAGCGAGCACGCTGTAGCGGACGAGGGCCCCCAGCAGCCTGGCAGCTCGCCCGCGCCCTCGCTCGAGCACAGCCGCGAGGACAAAAGCCAGGACGCCCCAGAAGCTAGCCCAAGCCCGGGTGACGATCCTCTTGGCGCCTTCCGGCCGCATTGCCCACCTGCGCCCGCAGCCGCAGGCGCCGCGGCACCCTCCAGCTCCGGAGATGATCCGCCTCCACCGTGGCGAGGCAACGCCTTCAGTGATAGGCGCGCGCCGGGCACCCGGGCCGTGGACAGGCGCGCAGCGCCCCGTGGCACCGACGGCAGCGGGCGCCCTTCGACCCCCCCTCGCAGCAGCAGCGCGCGGAAGACCCTTGACCATCTCCGGGGCCCAGCTATAGGCGGAAGCATGCATCGCGAACACCTGGGCAGCGTCAACTTGGATCACCACGGAGAGCCCCCAGCCGATAAGATCGCGTGCCTCCAGAAGCTCTTGGGAGTTACGTTCAACGGGATCTGGTACGGCTACACACAGAAGTACCCCAACCGCGCCAAAGGGGCGTCCAAAAGTAACCCCTTCCTGCACGACGAGGCCACGTGCAAGGGCTTCTTGGACGCCTGGCGCAGATGTGGCTTCGACGCCGACGAGATGGAACGGCAGCTGCAGCTCAAAGTCAACTGACATGCCGTGCGCGAGAGGCACATCAGGGCGACCTCTGGCAAGGGGCCCCACCAGTCAAAGGAGTGGAGCTCTAGCTCCCAGCACCAGTCCTGGGATTCATGGGAGGGGCGGTCCTGGCACGGCTCAAGGCAGCCCTGGCACGACCATGATTGGCATGACGGGGGCAAGAGAGGCAGACGAAGCAGCGACGGCGCAGACCACGACGGCAAGAGGTCCAAGTGATCGCGATCCCCCTGCCACTCTCGCCAGACGCGTTAGAAGCGCCCCCAAAAGACACGGTCGGTAGCCAGACACCAGAGACCGGAAAGCGCGGCCGTTAGCCACCTCAGTGCCAACCCCAACTCCTGGCTTCATGTTCAGCGCTTCTCTGCTCCCCTCCCTCTCCTTCATACCAAGTGACTGCGTGGCCGTTAGCCACTTGCCCCCCTGGCGATGCCCCCCCTTTGCCGACCGGTCTCGGTCACAGCACAGCGCCTGGCTCGCCCCTCGGCCTTGGGGATCAGGCTCCACGGCGCGTCGGGGCGCAGCGTGCCGTCACACGGCCTTGCCGCCTGCTGTAGCTATGTTCACCCGAGCCTTCCCCGCACCTGGCCGCAGCCTGACCCGGCACCCTTCGCCAGCGGGCCTCGTGACGACCGGCGATGGCCCCGATATTGCGCCTGGCTTTGCCCCCGCCATTGGGGGTCAGGCTCCACGGCGCTGTCAATACCTGGCACGATGCCCCTTGCTGGGACGGGGCGCGGCGTGCCACGCGGCCCTGGCTCTTGACTGTAGCTGTTTTCACCCTGGCCTTCGCTCGGACCCGGCCACAGTCTGGCTTGGCATCCCTGGTGAATTGCCCCCCTCTTCGCGACGTCACGTGACTCACGCACGCCGCGCCGCGGGTACCTGGCCAGAGGTCACCTCAGCCTTCAGCTGCCTGCTGCGCCGCCCCTCCCCCGTCCCTGACGCCTGGTAGTATCCGCGCTGGCTTTTTTGAGCCTGGTGAGGCACCCTGGCGTTCCGGTGATTCGCACGTCGACCAGCTCCGGCTAGAATGCTTGCGCGTTGCTTGCCTCTGGTCTTCAGACACCGCCACAGCCTGGCCGCGTTTGCAGCTGCCGTTTGCAATGGTGGGACCGCGCCCCTACGTGGATTGTTCAGGAGTGGTTTAGCCTTCTTGTTCAGCCATCTGAGGTTGTCACTGTTGGCACGCGGCACTGGTACGTTGGACTGCTTGCGCAGCCCCACGCTTTGCCACCCGGTGGCACGACTACCTCTGGCGCCTGGCGCAACAGGGTACAATTCGTTCGTCTTCCCGGTGGTCTCGCCTCTGGGATGGCTGCACTTCGGCCGCCTGGCACCCCTGGCAGCTCCTGCAGCCTGCCTTCAGCCCCCGGCGCCGCTCAGCGTCCCTCGGCGGCAGCTTTGGCTGCCGTGGGTGCGCGCGCTGGATAATTAGGTTCCGCCCGTAGCCCGGGTCGACCCTTGACGCCGCCTGCGCTTTCGCTTGCGGCCGCGACAAAGTCCCCACCAGCCCATCCAGAAGCGACGCCCACGGGAGTTGAGGTGATCAGGGAAGTGAGGGAGCATGCAGAAGAACAAAAGGCGAGGAAGCCGTCATAGACCCCAAAATGGGGGGGATGGAAGAGGAATCGTCGTCGTCGGAGGAAGAAGAAAAGGAGGAAGAGGAGGAGGAGTAGGGCGAGGACGAGGAGGATGACAAGGAGGAGAAGGAGGAGATGGAATAAAAGGAGGAAAAGGAGGGAGAGTTGGGTATTTCGGGGATCCTCTTGAGACCTCTTGGGAGTCTCTTAGAAGCCTTTTCGGCGCCTTTTGGGGTTGCCTGGGCGTCCCTTGGCGGCCCTCCTGGGCCGCTATTGGGAACTCTACGGGCGTTCTTGGAGCTCTTGGAGGAGATCGATCAAAGAAAGGGGGGTCCTTAATTAGCGCTGCCCTTCCACAGCGCCAAACATCGCCTCCTGAATCCCTCTTGGGGCGCTCTTGGAGCGCTCTTGGGGCCGTCTAGGGCCCATCTTGAGGCCTCGGATGGCCATCGGAAGCGAAAAGGCGAGAAGGCAACAATCATTGATGTTCCTTCTGGTTTTTGACGGATTTGGGCTTCTTGGAAGCTTCATTCGGAGTTTCGGAGGCCTCTCGGAGCCGTCTTGGAGCGTTTTCGGGGCCTCTTGGAGCTTGGAGCATCTTGAGAGCCATCTTGACGCATCTTGCGCTATCTTGAGCCATCTTGGAGGTAAGGTTGGCCTCTCCGAGGCCCTCTTAGAGCCATCTTGGGCCACCTTAGACGCTCCAACCTCTCGCGACCACCCCGTCCAAATCCATTCGCTTCGGGAGCCCCGGAGCCCATCTATCATCTGCCCGCGTCCTTTTTCGAGCCTTGATCGATGTGGCAGGGTCCCTGGGCCCGAGACCAGGCGAAGGACGCCCGTGGTGCAAAGACCGCAGCGCCAAGATCTGAGGGGAGGTGTGGGTGCGTGCTGCTCCTCTGCGGGACGGACGCGGGTGGCCGCGGGCGCGCCTCCTCTCTGGAAGAGGAGGAGGAGGAGGAGGAGGAGGAAGAGGAGGAGGAGGAGGGGGAGGAGGAGGAGGAGGAAGAGGAGGAGGAGGAGGAGGAGGAGGAAGAGGAGGAGGACCCGCACCGGGCCGCGTACTCCCCGGCGGGAGCGGCCCGAGCCCGACGCGCCGGCGCGCGGCCGACACCTTCGCCGGGCGGGCCTTCGACGCCACCGCCGCCCCGCCGCCGGCGGGCGCGAGGCCACCCGCGCGCACGCGCACCGCCGGGCTTCGGGGGCTTTTCAGGAGGGAAGGAAGCACACAGACACAATGATTCGTCGATTCCCAAGAAAATATTGGAAAATATTGAAGATGGGGGGGGGGGACAAAAACCCTGAAAATGTGGGAAAAGATGGGGAATATGTTTATTTGTATGTATTTAGTTGTGTATCCCAGGGCACCTTCAGCTTTTGGCCTCCGTGGCCGCGGAGGAGGCCTCAGAAGTCGGCTGGCTCTACGCTTCAGTTGGGCGTGTCCCGCTACAGGAGGGACGTTCAAGAATTGTCCGAAACTAGTCTGGGGACTACTTTTTGTTTGCTTTGGACTATGTTCTTCAATATGTTCAAGGTTTCGCACAACATCTGCCTGTAGGGGGGATGGCCCGACCTAACTCTCCGCAAAAGGGACCTTTCGCCGGAGTGACCTCTGGTGCGGGCACACTGGGGTTCCGGGGGCAACGATGGGGGGGGGATGGGCACAGGGGGGGGCGCATCGACCCCCAATCATTGACTGATCGCCGATAGACGCCCGATAGCCCCAACCTGCCCAGGAAGGTGCGGATATTGTCCGAGGCCTGTCGCCGATCTATCGGCCATGCATCGCCGATTCCAGGTCGATGTTTCCCCCCCTATCCCTACACCCCCCATCGTTGCCCCTCACAGAGGGCACTGCAATTCGAGAGCAGCGGCTTGCGCTCTCCAGTTCGGCTTCCCCGCGGGCCCCGAAAGTCGCGCACCAGAAGTCACTCTTGCCCAGGGTCACTCCTGCGCGTCGCCGACAAAGGCGTCGCAGAAGGCCCGAGGCCTCCAGAGCCCTCTGAGATCCCAGACATGACTGCGTCGTAAAAGACTCACGACGGGAGGGTTTGGGCAATTTTCGGCCTCGGGAACGTCAAGGAAAGACTCAGGATGAAAAACCGGGAAAAGGGTCGGGACATTTGGGGATCCCGTATTGAAAAATCAGGACGTCGCATGTCTGGCATTAGAGTCGGCTGGGGGTCTGAGGTGGCCTGGTGGCCAGCAGGTTCGGGAAGGTGTTTCGCCTTTTTCGGCTTCCAGGGCCATTTTCGGGCGCAGGGACCGTCACAAATTGGGGCGGGGTGAACAATTGCACCAGATGAACTTTGGAAGGGGTCCAGGGACTGTTTTGAGCGGACTGGCCGCCCCCCACCCTCCTTCCCGAATTTTTGGGGTGCCAACCAGTTCAGCCCCCCCAGCCGCCAGCCGCCTCCAACATAAGCCCTATGATCAGGGGCACCGAGGGGAGGGACGGGCTCAGGGGGGAATGCATCGACCCCCAATCGTCCATTGATCGCCGATAGGTTCTGATAGCCCCACCCCGCCCAGGAAGGTACTGTACGGATTTTCTACTCCGACGTGCATTCGACGCGAATTCGACGTGAATTCGACGTGGATTTGTCACGGATTCGATACGGATTCGACACGTATTCGATGTAGATTCAATGCGTTGGACGCGGATTCGACACGGATCGCGGCGCGACGGGACAGACAAGGTCCCCCGAAGATCCAACCCAAGGTAGGGGGACGAGGAAAGGTTTCTTAGATGCACTGCTGCTTCTGAGAAAGCGCGGGCCTTTTCTTTATAGAGGAGGGGGGAAGGCTTCTCATAAGCACCCCTGCTTCTTGGAAGGCGCGGGCCTCGTCTGTTGACGTGGGGCCCGCGCCTTCTAAGAAACAGCCCCCTCCTAAGAAGCTCCCCCCCTTGCCCAACCCCCTCGTGCGCGCCGACAACTTGTGCCAGTCTCCCCTTTCAGTCGGGCCACTGAAGGAGCCGGTTCGTTGGGGAGGGGCTCAGTGGTCCTCAATTTCTTTACGGTTTGTCTTACAGGTCTTCATCAGGTGTTCTATGGGACTTCGAAGTTTGACTCGTGGAAAAAAAAGGGCCTCGGTCCTGATTTAGGGCTCCTCATGACAGCGTTTCGATTGTATCGTTGACTCTCATCTCATCGGCGGCGAGCGAGGGGGGGCAGAGAGAAAGAGAATGCCTTCTCCAGAGGTTCGGAAGTCCCCTGGCCTTCTGAAAAACGTCTCAGAAGGCGCAAGGGCTTCTGAGAAGTCCCGCTGCCTTCTGAGAAGGCCTTCTCCTTCTCACGCCCCCCCCCCTGGGCGCGGCGCCGCCGAATATCGGTCAAAATCGGTCTCCCGACCCCTCCTGGGGTCCATCCCACACGGTTTGCTCAGCCTGGATCGCGTTTCGGGGGTCCCAGGGTCCGAAAACGGCCCCCACAGGCCGAAAATCATGAAAAACACCGAGAACCTCGAACCTCGAAGTTCCAACCTCGACGTTCCCCCCCTCGCTGGCCGCGGATCTGCGAAGGGCCGAGGCCCTCGGTTGCCTTACCGGCGACGACGACGACGACGACGACGACGACGACGACGACGACGACGGGGACGGCGACGGCGACGGCGACGGCGACGGCGACGGCGACGGCGTCTGCTGCTGGAGCTCTCGTTTTTCGGGTGGCCCCGGGGCCCGGCGAGGGCCCCCACAGCTCGGGACTGGGCGCGAATTAATTCGGCAATTGGATTGATTACCAGTGGCGGGCTGTTTTTCGATCCCAGGACCTCTTGAGGGTCGGGGACGCCGTCGGGGTGGTGTGGGTGGTGTATACGTTTCTCCCCGTTTCTCCGGGGAAACAACGGAAAATCTATACACCAGGATCCCTCGTACACCAGGGTTCGCTTTCCTGTGCGAAGTTCAGTGCGGAGCCGGAGAAAGCGTAGGTGCTTAGTTCGGTTCCCGAAGTGGGGAGCGACGAATTAGGGAGGGGGAAGAAAGGTGCCTTTCTCGGGCCCTACAGGCCCCCTTCTGGGCCCTAAAGGGCTCATCTGGGGCTCCTGAAGGGCCCCTTTTCGGCAGCTCTCGCTGCCCCCTCTCTTTCATCGCTCCCCCATAACTCGCGCCCCAATCGGGAGCGGCCAAGATGGGGGTGATGACTTACAGTCGGCCCTGATGAGTAGGTCGACTCTGCCAAATCGAGGGTACCCGTGTGTTCGGTAGCAAATCATGGCAGCCTGGTATACCCCTTCAATTCCGCTTTCAGCGTCGATTGACGTCGATTCTGGGAGTCGATGAGATAGCGCCGATGTAGCGTCGATGAGAGTCGATCTAGCATCGATCTAGCGTGGATTCATCGTCGACTAGCGTCGATTCGCAAGAGCCGACAGAATGGTATGGGAGGCTCCCATGAGTTGCCACCGAAGGGTAATGACTACAGTCGGCCCTGGGGAGTAGGTCGACCCTGCCAAATTCAGGGTACCCATGTGTCCTGTGTCTCGCGCACCATGCCTCCTAATTCCTGTGGCAGTGTGGCCCTCGGAAGGGCTTTGTGTCCTCTCGCGTGTCCTGTCCAATCAAGTCCGACTGTAGGGGGAGGGGGGGGATATCAAGTCCGACTGTATGGATGGGGGTGGATACCTCCCCAAATTTGAGAGCGCCTCGTCTTATTGCGAAGGCCTTACGCCCGGTGCCACCGACTCTGAAGGGGAACGACGACAACGGCGGCGGCGGCGACGACGACGACGCTGACGTGGGTCAGAGTCCTCATGGATGCGTCTTGAGGTCTATTCGAAGCGCTCTCGGGGGCCTCTGGAGACAGTTTAGGGGCCTCTTGGGAGCCTCTTGGGGGCCTCTTGGAAGCCTCTGGGGGGCCTCTCGGGGCTTCCTGGGGGCCTCTTGGGGCCTCTTCTTGGGGGCCTCTTGGGGGCCTCTTGGATCCTCCTGGGAGCCTCTCGGGGCCGAAGGCTCGAAATGTCCGTTCTGGTCCCTCGTCTGGGTGCCGTCTTGGAGGTGTCTTGGGCCGTCTTGGGGCCCTCTCGGTCCGTTTTGGGCCCCTCCTGGAGCCCTCTTGGGCAGTCTTGGGGCGATCTGGGGTATATGACTATTTTACCGTGCCCGGCTGCCCGGGTGCCCAGGTGCCCGGATGCCAGGCCAGGTTGCGACGACACTCGCCCATGGTGCCCGCGTTCCTGGGTGCGTTCCTGGGTGCCCAGGTGCGGGATGCCCGTGTGTCCAGGCGCCTGAGTGCCCAATCGCCCGCGTGCCTCAGTGCCCGGTGCCCGCTTCACAAGGATTTCCGGGTTGCAGGGTTGAGGCTTGCAGTTAATGTATAATTCGTTTTGAATAAACCAAATTGTGTGATTCGACACATCCGCAATCAATCATAATTCGCTTATAGGTATCAACAAAAAGCAATAAATACATTTTGCGAAGGCCTTACGGCCGGTGCCGCCGACCCTGAAGATGAGGACGCGGAGCATGACGAGGCAGAAGGAGGAGAAGTAAGACGAGCAGGGGGAGGAGCCGCATAAGGAGGAGGAGGGTGAGGAGGATGGGGAGGAGGAGGTGGCGTCTATTCTTGGGCCCCGCCCCCCAGGCTTCCCGGAGGGCCACCCCTCGCGCCACCCCCCCCTGGTGCGCGCCGCCGCCGATTGCAGCTTGGGGCAGGAGAGCGGCGCGGGCGCCTACGACACGGCCGCCGGCCTGGACGGCGAGGGCCGGCGGTCCTGGAGGTGTCGAGCAGTGGTGAATTGGCTCGCCTATAGTCCGACCAAAGAATGTTCTGAGAACTTTTTGTGGTCTGCACGAAATGTTCTTAGAACATTTCTGGCTGGGACTGTCTTGTTTTCACGCATCGGACTTATGTTGTAAGAGCATTGTTTTTGTTATTGGGACATTTTTGGGTTCTAAGAACATGTCGTGGTAGGCCTATAGAAATGCCAGGACGGTCGCCCCAAGGCGGCCAAAGAGGGCCCCAATACGGCCCTAGAGGCGCCCAAGATGGCCCAAGAGGGCCCCAAGACGACCCCAAGAAGGGCCAGAGAACCGGAGCCCGCGTCTCAAGATGCCTCCAGACGACCCAAGAAGACTCGACGAACGCTCCCCAGAGCGCCCCAGCATTCTAAAACATTGATTTCCGTTAGGTGTTTCCAATGTTTGCGGGGGTCTCGATTTTTCAAGTTTCTGGCGCTCCACGACGTCCCAAGAGGCCCCCAAAACCGCCTCAAGACTGCTCAAGAGGGCCCCAATACGGCCCCCGTAGTCATGTTGGTTCAAGTCTCTTCGCACGCACTGAGAGGCAGGCGCCCTCGCATAGCTACCACCTCGCGTTGCACAGTATTCCAGTGAACGCGGCCCGCCATGGCCGCTATTGGGACTCGGCAAGGTCTCCAGTTGATGTATCTGGTTGACATGCGTGCGCACTGCCCGAGGTGTGGGGAGCATAATCTATATTATTATTGTGGGCACACTGTTTGTGGAAACATGGATTGCGATGTAGTGCCAGCCTATTTCCCAGACTTGAACTTCCGTGGCAACGGTTGGTGTTCGACATCTCAGATTCCGTTCAAAGCACGCGGGCCATGTGTGAAATGCCCCGATTGTAGACCAGAATGCATGACGTCACAGTTTGGCACGTTTGTTGGCCAGGGCAAATTCTGCACACCGTGCAGGTACCCCGTGCGTAGGAACGGCAAGTGCTCCAAAGGTGCAGGGTGTGACTTCTGCCACGCCTGCCCTCTCCGTCTGCCCGGGAGTTGACGCAGGGCAGCTCAATGCAAAAGAGGGCTTCTGCTCTGGAAACACACGTCCTGACAGCACGCACGCCAAGCCCAGTGCCCATGCTGAATTCCCCGATGCTGTAGCTAAAGACGTTTTGTCGCGGCTACTTCCGCGGTCCAGCGTCGGAACCACGCAGATCGAGCTAGCTTCACGGAGGCATAGCATTTAGACCATCAATTGTTTTGAACAGCAGGCATGAGTTGTAGCAATTACAGGGTTGTTTTTATAGATGGCTTGCGCGCGCGAGAGGCATGATGCTGCCAAGCCTACGAGCATGTAGTACGATTCCGATGTATTCCTGCGCGCTCACCGGGGTCTCGTTCTCCTATTCTGCGGCCATGCTTTTGCGGAGCGCTTGCGCGATAACCAATCCTTACCAGTGTCCGCGCAGAACGCGAGCCCCGGATAAATCCGCGCTCGGCAAGAGCACCTCGCCGCTGACTTTGCTCCAGGGAGGGAAGCAGGGAGCTATCGATGGGGTGGGGTGGAACGCTTATAAGACATGCCATGGTACTCACTGGAAGCTTCGACGGCGCGCACGGCGAAAGGGCCTGCTGGCCGCCTCGTTTCCTTTGGAGACGCCCGCGGTCGTTTCTCGCGGCCTAGAGCTCCGTTCGTGATTTTTGGCGACGCTCACTGGACGTCGGGGGGCCCCAGAGGTTCTTGGAAAGGGCGGCACATCTGGCCAGTGCGGCGGATGATGATGATGATGATGATGATGATGATGATGATGATGATGATGATGATGATGAGGAGGAGGAGGAGGAGGAGGAGGAGGAGGAGGAGGAGGAGGAGGAGGAGGATGCTGATGCTGATGCTGATGCTGATGCTGATGCTGATGCTGATGGATGAGGAAGAGGAGGAGGAGGAAGAGGAGGAAGAGGAGGAGGAGGAGGAGGAGGAAGAGGAGGAGGCCACAGGTAGGAGAGAGCACGTCTCTGGCACCTTTGCCGTTGGATTTTGACCGCGCGGAGCTGCCCGCCGTCGGGGCGCGGATCGCTGGAGGCGGCCGGACGGTGAGGATCGTCAGGCGCTTTTCCCAGCCTTCTTGTGTTGGGCTCTCGTCTTGAAAAGAGCCTTGTGCTCTCCAACTCTCCTCCTATTCTCGGGCCGGACGAAAGGGGGGGATTGGGAAAGGGGGGGTTACGAAATTTGCTGCATGCAGCTGGTTTCGGCCCCACCGAGGGGCCCATTCCTCGATACATAGCCGCCTCCGGTGCCGGGAGGCGCTGGGAAAATCAGCTACGTGAGCTGATTCTCAAACCCCCCCTCTGCTATCCCCCCTTTCGCCCGACCCGATATTCGTAAGTTATATGCGTGTATGCGTATAGATTCGCCATATGGTTAGAGAGGGTTGGGTACGTCACCGGGTCCTTTCTCCACGGGCGTGGGCTGCCTGAGGCCGACGAGCTGAGCCCAATACCCTTCGTAGCGGTTCCGCAACTGCGCTCGCCTCTCAGCATTTGTCTGGTGCTTGAGCAGGATTGAAAAGATTTGCCCGGTCAGCTTCGGACTCGTCGGGGTCGCGGAGAAGGAGGTGGAAGGAGGAGGAAGAGAAAAGGACAAGGGGGAGGAATACATGCGCAAACACGATTTCAAAAGATCTCTACATCCGAAGCGCTTTGCAGGCAGATCAATGTTTAAGTATGCGGGCTGCGGCTACACCACCGCCGCCACCGCGGTGTGGAGGGCAGGGCGAGCGTCATTCTTTCAGGGCTCAGGACACAGACCCACAGGACCCGAGGACACTCCAACTCTTGCCTCGCGGGACGGTGGCGGATCTTGGCGCCAATGCAACATGACCTTCACAACTAGGGTCATGCGCCAACCAAGCACGTCCATCTGTCGTTCGAGTGCTCGATGGCACAACTCATAGTTGTGTGGTGTTGCCGCCCAATGCAGCAGCGCCTTTCACGCAGCAGTTTTCAGCGAACTGCAACCCAAGGTACCAGTTCAAGTGCAAGGCTGACCGCTGTTTCAAACAAGTATCCTGGCGAAGGACCCAACCATACGCTGTCGTGAGTACTGCGCTGTGGGTAGCGCTTTCGGTGGAGCTCCCTATGGGGCCACGAACCGTGTGAGGGGCGTGCCAAAATAGGCGTCGGGCGCATGCGGACCCTGCCACTGGGGCCCTCAGTGGAGCTGGGGCCACGAACTGTGTGAGGAGTGTGCCGAAATGAGCGTCCGGCGCATGCGGATCTTGCCATTGGGGCCTTCGGTGGAGCTCCCTATGGGGCCTCGAACCGTGCCGAAATGGGCGTCGGGCGCATGCGGACCCCGCCACAGGGCCCTCGGTGGAGCTCCCTATTATGGGGCCACGAACCGTGTGAAGGTTGTGCCAAAACGCGCATCGGGTGCATGCGGACCCTACCACTGGGGCCTTCGGTGGAGCTCCCTATGGGGCCACGAACTGTGTGAGGGGCGTGCCAAAATAGGCGTCGGGTGCATGCGGACCCTGCCGCTCCCCGGGACCCCCCCCCCTCTAGCGGGGAGGGATCAAAGGGAAGTGGCTTTCCTTGGAGTCAATTTCGACGATGCTCAATTTCGCTCTGGCCGGCGCGCTTGAGGAGGCGGGCCTAGGCAAGGGGGGGGAGCGGCGACGGGCCCAGCGCTTGAGCAGGAGGGCGCAGGGAAAGGGTGGGGAGCGGCGACGTGCCCAGGGAAAGGGAGGGCGCAGGGAAGGGGGACGACAGGGACGACGACTAACGAACGACGGAGACGACGACTCTAACGAACAAGCCCCTCACACACGTCGACAGGGTCGGCGGATGTCCCTAAGTCGCCAGAGGTCTAGGCCCGCGGAGATCTCCGAAGGGGCCCAGGGTACGGGTCCCAAAAGTACGCACCACCGCCACCTCCCTCACCCCTTTCTTCTACCAGGAACGAGGAGAGGAAGAGGAGGGTAGAGGAGCAACGCAGCCATGCGCCAGCCTATGGCACGGCGCCTCGGCAAGATAAAAAATTCTAGACCCTCTCGGGCCAGGCGGGTGTCCCCCGCCCTTGGCCCCTGGGGCTCGCCAGGCGTGCCGACTGACGCCGTTGGCTTCGTCCCCCCTCCCCAGGGCCGCCATTGACCCCCGCTGTCCGTGGTAAGGTTCCTCACTTTCAGCGGCGGTTAGCTGCGACCCTGGAGGCCCACGTGGTGTGTGGTTGACGGCGACCCCGAGTCCCGCGGGAAGGGCGGAAGCGGCGGACATGGTCGGCCCATGATGGCCGTCGGCTCTCGCGGCGGCTACAGCGCAGCTTCCCCCAGGTCGCCCCACCCAATTGCAATGGTTCTCCCACTTGCTTGGACACACGCCACACGCCGCCCCTGGAGGTACAGCCAGCTTTGTGTACTTGGAGGTTAAGGCCGTCCCTCGGTGGCCTTTGGCGTACTTCAGGCGGCAGCTGCCTCACCACCAGTGCAGCACCCCTCTGGATCCCCCTGCCTCGCTGGCGATGCTCACCACGCCTGCCTGGCCTTCTCCTCTAGCCCACCTGGCCTGGCGCTGTGCCGTTGTCCACGGGGTCGGCTCGCGGTCGTCCGGGCCTACCACGTGCACTGCCTGGTGGACTTGTGGGTGCTCTGCTCGCCACGGAGTGGTTCAGCCTTTCGCAGCAGCAGCAGCAGCACCCCGGGCTCATCCCCCCGCTCCCGGCAGGTCGCGTCGTTCCACGTTCCTCGGCAGCTCAGCTCCCCTAGCCAGCACACGTCGTTGGGACGGTTGAAGCTTGGCGCCTCACTGGCGACTCGCTCATCGGGCTTCGCCCCTGCCCCCACTCAGTATGACAGACACGTTTGCCTCGGTACACGTCATGTCGCTGTGTGGGTCATGCCTCACGGCAGGCATCGAATTTCTCGACATTTTGCCCACTGCACGTGCCCGAGCTTCCCAGGATGCCCCCTCCCGTCAGCTTCCCCACAGCCCCGCGGCTGCTTTGTGAGTGGGCCGGCCGGTTCGCGGCGCGT